CTAACTTACTAACCAACTAGCTACATGCCTAACTAAATAAATAAATAATGAATTAATTTATATAATCTAAATCATATAAATATAATATTTTCATGTATTTGTGTGTGTATATATATATATATATGTGTGTGTGTGTGTGTGTCCTGTGGCTCTAATGCTGTGGATGCTGTTCATTTCTGATGCACACTTCCTGGTGTTCTGTCTGTAGGTGCTGTATCATCTCTTTGAGGAGTACAGCAGTGTGGGCTCGATCACTGTGACGGATGTGTTTCTGGGTATCGTGTGTTTTCTGGTGGTGTCGTTGGGCGGTATCGTGGTGGGCGCCATCTACGGCATCCTGGCGGCCTTCACGTCCCGCTTCACCTCGCACACGCGCGTCATCGAGCCTCTGTTCGTCTTCGTCTACAGCTACATGGCTTACCTGTCGGCGGAGGTGTTTCATCTGTCCGGCATCATGGCGTAAGTCACCGCTTCATTTACTTGCAGTGTCATTTTACTATCATTGAGATACTATTACAGTTTTTTGTTAATATTTTGAATAAGTTTTTATTTTTAGATTTTAAAAATAAAAGAAAATAAATAAATAAATAAATGTTTATTTAAAAAAAAATTTTTAGTGTCTTCATTTTTTTAGTTTTAGTTATTTTAGTACATCTAGTACATTTAGTACTTTTCAGATAAGATTTGTTTTATTTCAAGTAACGCAAATTATTTTGTTTCATTTTCATTTGAGTTGAAGTTTTAGCAGTTTTTTGTCATTTTTATTAGTTTTTTTTTTATATGTTTATATAGGTACATTTTTATTTTATTTTTTGTTGTTTTAGTGCATCAAGTAAACTTAATGAAAATAGAAAATGTTGCTGAAATTAATAAAGTTGAAGTTTTGTTTTGATATTTTATTTTATTTAAAAATATTTTATTTCAAGTAATGGAAGTGTTTTTTATGGCTTTAGTTTAATTTGAATTTGAGTTCAAGATTTAGTCATTTTTGTTATTTTTATTAGTTTTCTTTTAAATATGACTATATAGTTTTTATAAATGTTTATTTCACTTTTAGTTTTAGTTATTTTAGTCAAGTAAACTACATGAAAATGGTAAAAGCTGCCTTGGCAACTAGTTGAAATAAAATGCTTATTTTAAACTAAAACTAAAAAGTTATTTTAGTTTTTTGTTGTTTTATTTCAGTCAAAGTAAATTTTATTTCAATGAACACGATTTGTTTTATGGTTTTAGTTAACTATAATAACCCTGTATGCTAAAGGGAGTTATTACATTTTACTAAAACATTTTTATTTGGAATAGCATTCACCAATAAATTGTGCACAAAAAGATGCAACATGCTAAATTAATTAATTAGTTAATTATATTTAAATTTATTACATTTTAAAAGATTGATTAAATTGTTAAAGTTTAATGAATTCATTTCATTAGACAATTTTGATGATAAATTTGTATTAAATAACAAAACACAGAATGAAAATGGAAAAAAAGATTTTAGAATTTTTTTAATATCTTCAGAAAAATTCAAAAATCTGTTTTCCATTAGATTTTTTCTGGATTCTGTGAAATTTTGTTGAAACGTTTTTTATTTGGAATAACAGTGAGTCATTCACAAAAAGACCAGAAGCATGCATTGATGTTGAATTTCTTTTACATTAAATTAAGTTGTAATTTTATGGGGCTTTGTTTATTTTGAAAATGTTTGCTGAGGACTCTCCAAAATTGCACAAGAGCTTTTTCTGTTTCTGACTTAATGATAAAATCAATAAACAGGGCCAGATGAAGCAGATCAGGGCTGTTTTTTCTCAGATTTGAAAGCATCCAGTGATTTAACAGCTTGTCGCCGACACTTGATCTATCGTCTAAAGGCGCTTGGAGTCGCTGCTCATGAGTAACAGGCTGCCAGAGCTCGGTCAATACTTCGGTACAGAAGACGGCTCTCAGTTATGATCTGGTGACGCTCGAGTGGATGATAAAAAGAGTCTGAAGCTCTGACAGGCCTGGAGATGAAGCAGTGATTCACAATGTGTCTCAAGGTCCGCCAAACTGATCCACCCATTACAACGATCGATTACAACTGGGCAGTTTTGACTAGGGCTGGGCGGTGTACGATTGTTCAAAGATTCGCTTGTTTGTTTTAGAAAGAGATTAAAGTCAGTAAGGACACATTCAGTTGATTAAAAGTGAATGTTACAAAAGATTTCTGTTTCAAATAAATGCTGTTCTTTTGAACTTTCTGTTCATCAAAGAATCCTGAAAAAGAAAATGTATCACAGTTTCCACAAAAATAGGAAGCAGCACAATTGTTTTCAACACTGATAATAATTAAAAGCCCCTTATTTGACAAAAAAATTAAGTAATTGTTATTTTTCATTTGTAAAAAAAAAAAAGGTAAAAATAAGGTTTTATGTATTCATTTAATTAGAAACCATTGTAGTATTTATTTTTTAAGTTGTGCAGCACCTTGTCTGACAAAAAAACTATGTTTTGTTGTAAATTTGTAATATTTTCAGTTGATTTTGTCCAGACTGATTAAATTGTTAAAGTTTTATTTAGTTATTTATTTTTCATTAGAAACCCTTATTTGATGATAAATTTGTAGTAAATCATAAAGCAAATAATCCAGAAAAAATGCAATGGAAAACACAGAACTTGAAAAAATAAAATAAAACATTATGAATATTGTTTTCAACTTCAGAAATGTTTCTTGAGCAGCAAATCAGCATATTAGAATGATTTCTGAAGATCATGTGACACTGAAGAATGGAGTAATGATGCTGAAAATACAGCTTTGCGTCACAGCAATAAATTACATTTTAACATATATTCACATAGAAAACAGTTATTTTAAATTGTAATAATATTTCACAATTTTACTGATTTGAGTGTATTTTTGATCAAATAAATGCAGCCTTTGGTGAGCAGAAGATACTTTTTTTTTTATTATTAGTGCATGCATTTGCTTTTATTTGACTAAAAAGTGTTTTTTACCCTTTTATTTAAAAAAAAACCCAACAACAACAGAAAAACATTGTCATTTTATAAAATAAAAAAAACAGTACATGGACACATCACAGTCTCGAATGCTTATTGCTCTATAAAACAGCACATTTCTTTTTCTTGAGCTGTGAAATAGCCTATTATGCAAAGCATTGCTCCTGAAGGCACGGCTCACTGCGGTCACAGGAAGTGTTGCCACAGATGCCCTTTTAAAAGAGGAACAAATGAGAACAGGAGGAGCCCAGGAGTTAAAATGATCAACCCTGATAATGTTCCCAAAGGTGGAACTGATTCAGTTGGGTTCACACGCCCCGCCTCTCTTCACTTTCTGTCACAGTGAGTCACACGTTTACTCGGGAGGAGACAGTTAGCCGTTGAATCACACTCCCATAATCCTGCACTGCCTCCACTTTCAGACAGAAGCCAGTCACAAGTTCAGCTAATTTGTCAAGACCCTGTAGGTGGAATTAGTTCCTCACACGTCGAGCTAAATGAGGCTGATCGAAATGTTCACTTTCAAGGGCGTATGCTAATATTTTTTGATGATTTATTGAAAGTAATGCAAATTGTCGGCGTGGTGCGATATGCAAGGGCTTGTCGAAATTCAGCCCTTGGACCCAACTGACTGTAGAGCGAATTATGACAGAAATATATTACTAATGTATAGTAAAATGTACTTGTCAAAGTAGTTAATAATAATAATAAGAAGAATAATACCATTTATTGAAACATGATATTGTATTACTGTTATTTTATTATTATTTGAAGGAATATCATAAAAACCAAATATTTTTTCATCTATATTTTAATACAAGTTGTGCAGCACCTTATTTGACAATTTTTAGAAAGAGATTAAAGTCAGTAAGGACACATTCAGTTGATTAAAAGTGAATGTTACAAAAGATTTCTGTTTCAAATAAATGCTGTTCTTTTGAACTTTCTGTTCATCAAAGAATCCTGAAAAAGAAAATGTATCACAGTTTCCACAAAAATAGGAAGCAGCACAATTGTTTTCAACACTGATAATAATTAAAAGCCCCTTATTTGACAAAAAAATTAAGTAATTGTTATTTTTCATTTGTAAAAAAAAAAAAGGTAAAAATAAGGTTTTATGTATTCATTTAATTAGAAACCATTGTAGTATTTATTTTTTAAGTTGTGCAGCACCTTGTCTGACAAAAAAACTATGTTTTGTTGTAAATTTGTAATATTTTCAGTTGATTTTGTCCAGACTGATTAAATTGTTAAAGTTTTATTTAGTTATTTATTTTTCATTAGAAACCCTTATTTGATGATAAATTTGTAGTAAATCATAAAGCAAATAATCCAGAAAAAATGCAATGGAAAACACAGAACTTGAAAAAATAAAATAAAACATTATGAATATTGTTTTCAACTTCAGAAATGTTTCTTGAGCAGCAAATCAGCATATTAGAATGATTTCTGAAGATCATGTGACACTGAAGAATGGAGTAATGATGCTGAAAATACAGCTTTGCGTCACAGCAATAAATTACATTTTAACATATATTCACATAGAAAACAGTTATTTTAAATTGTAATAATATTTCAAAATTTTACTGATTTGAGTGTATTTTTGATCAAATAAATGCAGCCTTTGGTGAGCAGAAGATACTTTTTTTTTTATTATTAGTGCATGCATTTGCTTTTATTTGACTAAAAAGTGTTTTTTACCCTTTTATTTAAAAAAAAAACCCAACAACAACAGAAAAACATTGTCATTTTATAAAATAAAAAAAACAGTACATGGACACATCACAGTCTCGAATGCTTATTGCTCTATAAAACAGCACATTTCTTTTTCTTGAGCTGTGAAATAGCCTATTATGCAAAGCATTGCTCCTGAAGGCACGGCTCACTGCGGTCACAGGAAGTGTTGCCACAGATGCCCTTTTAAAAGAGGAACAAATGAGAACAGGAGGAGCCCAGGAGTTAAAATGATCAACCCTGATAATGTTCCCAAAGGTGGAACTGATTCAGTTGGGTTCACACGACCCGCCTCTCTTCACTTTCTGTCACAGTGAGTCACACGTTTACTCGGGAGGAGACAGTTAGCCGTTGAATCACACTCCCATAATCCTGCACTGCCTCCACTTTCAGACAGAAGCCAGTCACAAGTTCAGCTAATTTGTCAAGACCCTGTAGGTGGAATTAGTTCCTCACACGTCGAGCTAAATGAGGCTGATCGAAATGTTCACTTTCAAGGGCGTATGCTAATATTTTTTGATGATTTATTGAAAGTAATGCAAATTGTCGGCGTGGTGCGATATGCAAGGGCTTGTCGAAATTCAGCCCTTGGACCCAACTGACTGTAGAGCGAATTATGACAGAAATATATTACTAATGTATAGTAAAATGTACTTGTCAAAGTAGTTAATAATAATAATAAGAAGAATAATACCATTTATTGAAACATGATATTGTATTACTGTTATTTTATTA